AATTAATTGCTTTGTGTTTTTATATATTATCTCAATATTAAAATTTACCTTTTTCTTCAAGATATCGTCTTGATTAGTTTTAGGTTGTAAGTGAGCATGATTGTTCTGCAATATCAATAAATAATTTTACTTTTCAATTATGTTGTTTATTAGTTTATACGTTATTTTATTGCAAAGCTACACATATCACATTCATGCTATTTTTCATTAATTACTTTGAATTTAACTTTTATACTATTCATAATTTATAGATATAAAACAAAATTTTTAGACGTAAAATATGTAAAAATGAGTATTTTTTAAAACAGATTTTTTAATGCTTTTTACCTTTGTCGACAATGTTTCTTTAGTTTTCTGTTTAAATCCAGTAGCAATAAAATTATTATTTTCATGTAGAGTTTTATGCGAAGATTTCCTTCTAGCTGTATTTTTATTTGTACAGCTTTGACCCTTAGTTATAAATAAATGTAATGCTTTTGTATTATCATGAGCAATTGAGTAATCTGTTAAGTTTTGTTTAGAACACAATTTAGAAACACTCTTGGTAATCGTAGCTGGTGATATTATTTCCTGAAAAATAAATAAAAATAATATATCATTAAAAACCATATATGTTGTAGTTTGTTACTATTTTTAAATCGTGTATCTAAGAAGAGAATTCAATTTTTATATTAAACATAATTTACTTTATTATTAGAATCAACTAATTCTTCTATACATGAGGAAACCAAATCGGTGTCGCTTTTATCATTTTGCACACAATTTCCCGTTTTGCTTGACTTCAATTTATATCGCTTGTCGTTTTTATTAATTTTTGATACTGATTGCTTCAAAGAGTTACTAGTTAAATTTTTTTCTATAAATAACGGTTCCTGTAAATAATATCAATAATGGATTAAAATATTTTTGTTTTTTTAATATAAACTAAAAGATATATGCTTACATTTATCTCATTCTGTTTTTGATTCTTAATATCTTCTTTAGATGGCATTCCTTTTTTTCCAAAACATTCACAAAAGTGTTCAATTTTTGGTTCTTTAACTTGGCTGTTTTCATATTATTGTTTCCATTTTCAATACTTGATGTAAAATTATT